CCATTCTACGCCGTGTTCAACTAATTAGACAACAACTAACCAACTTCAATATCACATTCGGAATCGGGAGATGTCTGTAAATTTCAGGAAAATCTCAGGCTTTGGTTATCCCGTGCGAATGCGCCACATAAAACAATGTCACCCACTCCTTTAAATGGAGGCGTGTCAGGGGAGGTTTCTCACGTGCGCTCAGTTCCACGTTCATTGGGATGTATAAAGGAAAGGTGCACAGGAACCTGCGTACGCACAGTTTTATACATCTGAATATTTTGGTGCGGCGCAGTTTTCTAAATTTTTCCATACGTCAACTTTTAGTGTGAAAGCTGCGCAATCCTTTGTGCATGAGGCCCCTGGACTTTAGATGATTGAACTGGTATTTTTAGTCATTTAGTCATTTTTAATCAATCACAGTTTAAGTTTGATGTTTTTTTTTTAAGATTTTAACATGGAGAATTTAAAGATAGCTGCACTTTGAGCTGTTGAAACTTACTCAAATGTTTTCAGCCAGTTTTTTTATAGTTAATTTCTRATTTAGAATAGAAGAATAGAATAGAAACAGCCTTTATTGTCCCGCAGAGGGGAAATTCAGGTGTCACAGCAGCATCAGTACAGAGGTTCACACACACTAGTTACCTTACAAACTATAGGCAGTACACACTAAACAAAATTAACACTGACTAGCCATGATACAACTACTGATAATAAAAATATAATATAAAGAATTGTGCAAGGATAGAAAACGAGGTTTTGTTTCAGAATCCGACATTAAAAATCAGAAATAACCTGTTTTCTGTGCAAAACAATCTCAACAGCCCAATAAYTGTAAAGTGAAGTATCATAATGCAGGCAAGAAACACAGATGTTCAAACAGAGTAATACTGCAAATGATTATTTACTGCCTATAWTTACTCCTAAAAAATTGTATTTCATGTACTCTTTCAATATTTACATTATGAGTAGGTCCATTTTAGACTGTCAAATATCACTATTTAGTTTTATTCATATTTTGTGATAATGTGTCATCAAACCATGTTTTTAACTTCTTTAATTGCGTTTTAATAATATTCACTAGTTATTGTAAATTGTGTCCAGAACAAAGTATGTTAGTACCATTTGCAAATATAATCCATTTCAGAAGTCTAGATACTTTACAAACATTTATACAGATATTTATACATAACAAACAATTATGGGCCAAGCATCAACCCCTGTGGCACTCCACAAATGATGTCTGAACATTTTGATTTGTAATCCTCCAACTGCACCAACTGTCTGTTACTAATATAGTTCAGGGTTTCCTGCAGTGCGTTGTAAGCCTGCCTCTCCACCAGGCTTTAACACCGAGCCTGTCGGCACCGACACATTTTGTCACCTTTTTTTTAAACGCCATAAGTTCTCAACTGTTTGTGCAATCTGAAAACTTACAACGGTTCCTGAAAGCCAGGAATCTGGGCTTTTCACTGATTTTTGGGGTTTTACAGTAATATCACGTGACCAGTTGCAGTAAGCCCACAAAACAACCTCAGCCTCCTCCAAAGATGCTTGGTGCAGAGTGTAGTGGAAATACGAGCGACAGTGTGTTTTTTTCAGAGCGGAGAGGAAATATTTAGTTAGAATAAAGTCTGGAAGATGTTCTTCAASAGTCAAACGGCCACGGAGGTTCCAGGATGATTTTGAGACCTAAGACCTTTTGATGAACCAGCTTCTTGTGAAGAAAGGTAACTTCAAGTTTCTGAGAGCATCTTTCTTGTGAATGAAGCCAGTTTTTACTTTTATATTTTATTTTATGAATATTTGAATAGTTTTATGTTTATTTTTATAAACAGTGTAACAAGTAAGTTACTTTGTACAATATAAGCGTATTTAGAGTTAGTAAGTGTAAATAATGTGCGCATTTGTCTCTTCAAAACACTTGTTTTTTTTTGTATCAGCCTAATGTTTGCTCAGTAAACCCTGTATTGTTTTTACTATATATATTGTGTGTGTGTGTGTGTGACTAGCTGAATATTTATTGCTACTTTCTTTTTGTCTTGTTGTGAGGACCGGCCACCTTCAAGTTTGGGAGGAGGCAGAGGCAGAGGTGGAGCCAGAGAGCAGCAGTGAGGATGCTGAAGATGATGTGGATGCTGTCAGAGACAGAAGCTGCTCACCAAATCTTCTCAGATGGAGGACTGGAATGGAGCATGATTATGTAGAACAATGGGCCTCATGTGATGTAGGACTGTGTCTGCAGCTTCATAGGAACTGCTTCTGGCAGTATCACAAAGACTTTGGGGGGAAAGGGGAAAAAACACCATGTATGTAGTTTTCATTTTTGGACTGTTTTTTAAATTTATTTACAAAAAATCCAAAAGTTTCACTGTACTGTCTAAATTTTATTTTGATGCCAAATCATTTCATTCTGTACATTTGTTGTGATTTTTTTCTTAGTAAACCTCAAAAAACAGATTTTTTTTATTCATTTAAAACTAATAATACACTATTTTAAAAGGCAGTAAGTTTTAAATAACTGTCAGCTTAAAGAGGGTGCTTAAGTTTTGTCAACAATGTCTTACAATAACATAATTAAAATACGTCATATTTTCAAATTTCCTGTCAACTTTAACATTTTTTTAACAAAAACATGGTGGGCTGCCAAAGCGGCCCTACCACCGGGCTTAGCTGGTTTTCTGGGGAAACACTGTAGTTCTTCCATTCCATCCCACTCCCTAACACCACACCTTCCCATTTTATCAAGTAATATCTTACGATTTATAGTATAGGGGTCCATGCTCCGCTGGAGCTCTCCAACAGCATGTTTTTCCTATAATTACTTATTTTTTCAGTTAAATATATTAATACTGTAGCTGTTTTTCCAGGATCTTAGAGATTTGTGAAAGTAGAGACACTGGTKTGTAATTTGTAATGTTTATCCCGTTTTAAACCCTGGGTTTACTTTTCCAATCTTCATTTGATTTAGAAATATACTTGTTTAGAATGACAAATTAAATATGATTAATGTAATTTCTACTCCACTTCTGTCTGTCTCATGAACAGTGGTGAAACGTGGTGACCCCACTGGCAGCAGCTCTAACATTTTTATTTAATCATGATTTTACTTTTTAAAATATTGTCATTTTGTAGGCTCAGATTTTTTACAATGTTCCAGTTTTCTTTTAGTTTTCAGCCAGTAGCTGCTTTGAAGCCCATTAAAATGTGTTCAGAAGCTTTTTCTAATACTGGTCGTGATGTCAGCAGCGTAAATTGAAATGTACCTGTAGGATAAAACGAACCAACGGTCTCTTTACTTTAGGAGCTCAAAGCGTGGCATCGGCCGCAGGTGTCCAGTTTAGCTGCAGCAGGAGCCGACGTCATAGCCTTTGAGACCATCCCGAGCCTCAAAGAGGCYGTGGCTGTGGTGGAGCTGCTGAGAGAGTTCCCAAACTTAGACGCCTGGCTGTCTTTCTCCTGTAAGGTAAGCTCTGCTGCGGAACAACAAAAACAGTTTATGTTTGATGTCCAGTCACAGAACGAGTCACGCTGCGCCCCTCAGGATGAGAAGCGTATTTCAGACGGCAGCCTGTTCGCAGACTCTGTGAAGGTCGCCGGCAGGTCATCGCAGCTGCTYGCTGTAGGAGTCAACTGCTGCCCTCCAGCTGTGGTGGAGGGGCTGCTGGACTCTGCCGGGTCCCAGCTGAGCCCCAGTATGAGCTGGGTGGTGTACCCCAACAGTGGAGMGGAGTGGGACACGGAGCTGAGGTGAGTCTTCAGCTGCAGTGAGAGTAACGTTCTTAGTCTTGTGCATCAAACGTGCTTTATAAACACAAACACACTTACTGGGGTAAATGCAGAGTAGTAAAGTGCAAATACTTTGTTACTGTACCTAAGTAGAATTTTTGGGTATCTGTACTTTACTTTTTAGTTCTACTTCTTAAAATTTGAAACAATTATCTGTACTTTCGATTCCTTACATTTTTTAAAAGGCAAGAAGTAGAAAATTGTTACTTTTATTTCATCTTTGCTTGTTTTCATTCCAGCTTTTTGTAAAAAATAAATACTATCCATATAAGTTGTGCCTCCTAGATAGAGTGAATTTAATTGTGGTTGAATTAAAAGTATAAATATATAAAATTCTGATAGCGTGTTAGTTTGTACACAAACAAATCATGTCACACTCCAGCAGGACATAATCATTAAAATAAAAGGACTGTACTTAATAAGTATTTATAT